GTGTCCACGTGACACAGGAAGATTCACACAGGGGATCCAGGACCCCTGCTCTGCCCTCTGACAACTTGTGGATCGCGGTTAATTCATTATTCAGAAAGATCTTGAGGCCCAAAGTCTGAAACTGCGATCAGTTCTCAGCTCACGGTAAGGTGAGTTGCTCCGCCTTTTCCCGGTCAGCTGGAGACGGAGTTGTGCAGACTGCATGTATCAGGGAGCTTGAAGTGCTTCCAAGAGGGGTGCTAGGTGCCAGGCCGCTGGTCATACTAACGCGGTTATTAATGGTAATTCAGGGGCTGGGGATTTAGCTCATCGGCACAGCACCTGCCTGGCAAGCTCAAGGTCTTGAGTTTGATTCCCGGTACCAGAAAAAAACAAAACAAAACAAAACAAATAGTAATTCAGTCTGTTCATTGCCAGAGCTGCGGAGAGTGTGTATTGACTTTCCCCCATAGGATCGGCAATGTGAAGCAGCAGGGCCTACAACCAAGATAAAATAATAATTGTGTTGAAAATGTGCAGGACTTGTTTCTGGGATTGTAAGGGCCAAGAAACTTGAAATTCTTCGAAGACGATGGAGGCCTCCTCAGCCAGCCCCGCCACCAAGGGCTGTCTGCCCGGCGCTGTCGGCAGCCCAGGGCCAAGGGACGTCCAGGTGCTCTTCCCCGTCTACGGGTGGAGCCCCCACACTGCTTGGTTGAACTTGAGACGGCTTTATTCCAATTCAGCCTCATGTTTGTTTGTAGTGCTTATTTCAGAAGGGAAAAGGTCAGCTCCTTTCGGTTTGAAAATAGCACCTACACACCTCTGTGCCTCTGTGAGTGAATCAGGGGGCGGGACGGGGCGGGAGGGTATGGGCAGAGCTGGAGCCGAGAGGCCGGAGTGGAGGCAGCCTGGGAGGTGTTGGCCGGTGAGAGGCCTTCCTGAAAGGAAGAGAGGAGGGGTAAAGAAAGGGTGGAGGGCGCAAAGGGAGGCAGAGATGGGGAGGAGGAGAACGATGCCAGAGAGAAGATGAGCGGGCAGCGGGGCCATGAAATCGGGACAAGGGGCTGCGCTTGGATTTTAGCCCTTCCAGCTGCCTGGATTCCTCTTCCGGTCCCGGCCTTAGTCTTCTCATCTGTAAAGTGGGGGGAAGAAAACCCACAGAGAAACCGAAGCGGGAAGACAGCCTCAGCTTGGGCGCAGTCTCCAGGGCCACGAGGGAGATGGACACCGGAGTGGCCACGGGGTCTTCTCAGAGCTGACGTCTCCCTTTGCACTGGGTTTGGCCCGGACAATGGGAGATCCGGGCAAGCACGGCCCCCGGGGCGCCTGTCCCCCACCGGGTCCTCAGCGCGGCAGAGGCGCCCGCGGCCACCACTGAACTTTCCACAAAGACAGTTTGTGGCGCGCGGATCCCCATCCATAACCTTTACTGGTCTCTGTAGAGCCATTACGACCATTAGGCTGTGGACTCAGCAGCGCGTTAGCTCTTAAGTTAATACAACCGAGACTTTTTTACTTTCCTTTTGGGAAGGAACATGTGCAATTTCAGTGATTTCTTAGATCATTCCATAAGTAAATCAAATATTCTTTCAAGCCCAGTTATCAAAATTGTGTCCTTTGATACCACATCTTCCATCAAACTGCAGTAATCCAGTTCAACACATTTTAAACCTCTGCTATCTTCTAATATCATCCCTACTAGATAGAGTAATTAAATTTGTACTTTTTTTTACAAGTCGTACTCAATAAATCTGAATAAATTAACAACGCATTACTAAGACTGCTACATTAAATTTGCATAGTGCATTTAATGAATATGCAACTCCGAGTGAAAAGGTCTGCTACTGCGAACCCTGGGCATTAGCATAACTACTTCCAGCATGTTTCTTAAATAATGCACTCATTTGCACATCACTGACTTGGCTAATTCTAACTTCAGTCAGGGTAGCCTTGTAATTAAGACTCTTGCTTTAATTTTTAATGAAGTTTATGTTACATCAATCCTGACAGTAATGAGAGGACATGGAAACAAAAAGGCTGCTAATAATTAAATTCACAAACCAGTTTGAGGGATAATAATTCCTGAGGAGAAATTACATGACTAATTATTAATTAAATATTCATACTATTGCCCAACCATCTCACTTAACTGCCCTTCTTGTTGATAATAATATTGAGAAGCGGATGCCTTTTGCCAGCCGTTCTGAGTTTAAGGTCTCTGGTTAATTTTAGTGCGCCGTTAATCAATATGACACAAAAAATAAAATTGTTTTAATTGGTATCATTTTATTGTGTCTAAATATTACTACAGTTGGTTTAGTTTGTGGAGAATTAATCTAGTTAGTCGGTGCCTGTTTTATGGAAACATAAATCCAGTTTATATCCATAAACATCTAATGGCAGGACAACTTGACCTTTTTTTTTTGTAACATTACTGTTTACAGATAATTACACCAACTCTTTAAAAGGTTATTTAATAGCTTTGCATTCATCACAGTAAAATGAAAAAACATGCAATATTATTTAACTCCAGCCTGTTCTGAGGAGGTCTTGGAGAACCTCATTCACCCCTGCCGCAAAGTAAGCAATATTAATGTGTGGGTTTTTCGGAAATGTATGGGAGCACCCTCAGAATGTGTACAAACAGATTTACATGTTTGGGTGTGCATCTTTCAGTGTCTACTTCATAATGGGTGAGGAAGAAAATATGCCCCCAAAGTCACAAGCTTCCACGGCAGGAAAACACGGGGGAGGAGATTTTATGATCCCGCATCTCAAAAATGGCAACAATTTCCCTACAAAACCCAGTAAATAAACATTACAGAACCGAAGAAATTACTATGATGAAGCCTAATTGGTTGCAATATTTATTGTAGACACTTTCCCCCCTTCCTGTTTTCTAAGTGGTATTCAGGAATCTAATGAGAACTTCCCCATCTGGAGGCAAATTTGGCAAGGGGAAGAGAAGATCCACAGTATTTACTTGGACAACACTGATCACTCAGTTGGAGCAGGTCATGACGTTTGTGTAAGTCTCTGGTAAATTCACCAATACAAGCTTTATGGAGACCACTTTGCTTATTATAAAATCAAATAGACATGGAATAAAGTCCCTGTTATATCCTCCAGGGGCATTTGGAAATTCTGAACCCGGGCAAACCTTTCAGTTCATTTTTCTAATGATTCAAAGTACTTGATTCATCAAAGTGAACCAAGTCGATACAGTAAACCAGGGGGCAAGGGTTCCCTTCCGCTACTCCTGGTCCTTACTACAAGCTGACAGGTCTGTGGGGCATTATTACCGGGCACGGTGTGTACTGATCGCTCCCTTTTGCTAAATCTTAAGAATCGTCTTAATTTTTCTTTTTTATCTACTCTCTTAAACTAACACCTAAAGGCAATTTGTAAAGACCACTCACCGTGAGATAATTTAGTGGTGCGGGTCAGTGTAAAGATGTCACTCTAAGTCTGCATCCCTGGTCCCTCCTTTTTGGTTCTTTCACAGGGGGAAATCCTTCTGAGTACGAAACCCTATGTGAAGAACAGAGATTCTCCCACACTAAGTAAAGGAAGCCACGAAAGTGACCAGGCTGGCTGGCTACACGCTGACACACTCATCCCTGAAGACTTTTCTCTCCCGTTGCCAGAGGGTACCACACTTGTCTTGGGCAGGAAAAGTGGAGAAAAGAAACCTTCACCAAGGGACCCTGTGGAGAGAGAACCCTGCCACCTCCTTCCAGGGAAGCAGCCAGGACCCCAGCCACACCTCCACTCCAACCTCCCCTGCCCTCATGGAAAGTTTCTTTCTGAACAGTGGCTCCCTTCCCTGAATGCGGGTGATTTTCTCCACTTAGCAGACTGCTGGAAGGATTCGTCACACAGGCAAGTGCCTCATGCTATGCCTGGCACATGGCATGCCACCGAAACATGCCAATCATTGTTGCCCTTTTACTTTTGCCAAGGGAGAGTGTGAGAAATTCTATCACTGGACTCAATTCTTTTGAGCTAACAGCGTGGTTAAGTTTCTTTTTAGAAACGTAAATCGTGCATCTTGAAAAGGGATTCACGATGAAATTGCCACCGGTCACCCAAGCCTTGGTGTGAGTTTTTGGGCCGGCTCCCTTCCCCCATACTGGGGACACAGGAGCTAAGACCGGAGGCTAGCTGGGAAGGATGCTAAAGGGAAAGGAGGCTGTAGGAAGGGGAGGCTGAACTCTTGAGGGAAGATGTTACACACAGCTGGGCTGTTTAATCTCCAGGGCACAATGTAAGGACCTCTAAGAAGTCAAACACACAACCTAACACCTGCCTTAGGGATGTGTGTTCCCACGTTCTTAAGCTCTGGTCCTGGAAAATGATAACTTAAGAACATAATAAAGACATCCCAAGCTTTCTAGAACAGCTTTGTTTTGGTTATTCTGCCAATATCAGGCATTGCTTGGTTGGTGGAAGAGGGAAGAACTATCTTTGTCATGAATCATTATTCTCTAAAGCAAGTCCAGAAGGGAAGAGCCTGCCATTCTCAGTAAGTGTCTAGCAAGCATCCACAGATGCCTGCCTTCCACACCAGAGGATAAATAGTCTTTTCTATCATGTGTTTGCTCTACACTGCATAACAAAATGTCCAAGCAGACACTCACCCATGGCCTCGGCTTGCAGCCACACCGGGTCAAGAGGGTCTGAGAGAAATTGCTGGTGGGGGGCACTCTCTGGTCCTTCCCCAGCGTATGGGATGGAAACCCCTGAGATTTCTGAGTTGGACAAACTCTAAAACTCTCATTTTCTCAGAAGTGTGACGTAGGTAACAGCTGGCCTTTTGGAGCCCTCTGTGTGCTTCAAGGGACACGTGGGGCCGATGACACCTAGCCGAAAGGCTCAGGTGACATCGAGGGCAGCCACCCCCCTCCTATGCCTGCATTGCTCTGTGCCTCCCCAGGGGTGTTGTTGGAGGAGGGTTATGTCTGAGTCTTACCAGTTCTTGTGTAACACTTGCTGTGGGGTTGTGTGTGTGTGTGTGGTCACATTATCTTTTTTGTAGGTATGTAAACCATTAATGGAGCAGGCCTACAGCCCACAGTGCGGCCACAGCGTCCAGTGGGCTTCGTGTGCTGGGCTCGGACTCGAAGGCACCACAAGTGGCGCAGCCCCTGAGGGCCCTGATCTTCTTCGGTTGCTCCAGGTCTTCTTGGAGCTCGTTGCCCGGGTCCTTGTCCAGAACCTGGTTGCCCTTCCCATCCTTTGCATCCTCCCGTCTGTCAGGAACCAGTCTGGGGTCGTGTACTGGCGCCGATTCTGCTTGGCAGTGACCACACGCTCCTCCTCACCCCCGGGGAGCTCCGCTCCTCCTCACCCTCAGCGAGCTCTGCTCCTCCTCACCCTCAGGGAGCTCTGCAGCCCTCTTGGTGAGCCGTCGCCTGCTTTTCCTAACACCGCACGAGCGAATCTCCGCCCACACCCAGTGGCAGGGATGGCAAAGGCTGCTTCTGTTGCCCATTGATGTGGGGGTTGAGTCCTCACAGAATGTGCCGGAGCTTCTCAGGGATCGCTAGAGATGTGGTGGGGGCAGCGGCGGCGGTGCGGGGGCCGCCTGTGGAAGGGCGACATCATTACATTTTACCAGTTACCCGGGCGATTTTTAGATCAGCCCTTATTTCTCTACAGACTAGCACTCTGCCTACACTGTGATAAGGACTCGTGAATCAGATTTGTAAAACACAACAGTGTCTGGCACTTCAGAAGTGTAGATAAATGGAAAAGTATAAACCCCATTCCAATGGTGGGAGCCTAACCCTTGAGAACCTACCTGTTTCACCTTGTACCCCTCTGTAGGCTGGCCACACTCTGCTAGTCACTCTCTGTGAATCACTTTCTGATTCCATCTGGCTGCCTGTCAAACTTTTTTTTTTTTTTTTTGGTACCGGGAATTGAACTCAGGACCTTGCACTTGCCAGGCAGGCACTTGTGCCGTTGAGCCATATCCCTGGCCCCTTTCAAACTCTTATTCATACTTTAAAACCCAGCTAAGCAACTCCTTTCAGAAAGTCTTCCCTTGTGCCTCCTCGCTCCTGTCAGTCTTGTTCTTCTGTCCCCTCCAAGCCCAGTGCACCTGCACGCCTGTGTGCTGGGCAGGCCGTGCCCCAGACAATCTGTCTACACTCTGACCGCAGGCAGGCTGTGCAGGACTTTCTTTTTTTTTTTTTTTTTTGCTTTTTCTCCGGTACCGAGAACCGAACTCACGACCTTGCGCTTGCCAGGCAGGCGCTTTTGCCGCTGAGCTAAATCCCCAGCCCTGTGCAGGACTTTCTCAGCCCAGCTCCTGGCACACCACAGGGCATGCATCAGCGCTCCGTAGATGTTTGTCCAATCACACTGAATTCACTCGACAAGTAGCAAGTCTGCAAGTGTATCTCAGACTCCAACATCAGTGCTTCATTACGCATCTCATGCTGAAAGCAGGTTTTTTTCTGTTTTCTCTTCTCTGGAAGAAGACAGCAGTGGGGAGCTGGCAGTGGAGCGGAGGTGCAGAAGAAAGCGCTTTGGGTGTGATAATGCCGCTTTCCTGCAGGCTAGGGTCGGTTCAGAACGCACAGTTTGTTGCCATTATCAGTAGCTATCGGGCAGCGAGTCTAAAGTCCCCACCCGGTCTTACCAGAGGAGCTGCTTAGTGTCTGATTCTGTGGGCACAGGTGGGCATTTTTCCCACAGTGACAACGCCCTGTTGCAAAGCTGAGCATCGTGGCACAGACCTCGCAAGCACCAGAAGCTGCTCCGTGTGGAAACAAGCAACCAACAGTGTGTCAGCGCCCGCACGCAGCCGGCAGCAGGGGTGGACAGGCAGGTGGTGTCCGCAGCCAACGGCCAAGGCCAGCCGCTCGGCAGCACCTCCGTGCACCATCTCTGACAGGGAGGCTGCTGTCTGGTGGTGCTCCTTTTCCTGGAGGAACCGAAGCCTTGTATCGAGGTGTGCAACCTGTAAGTGCCGTTGGAGCTGGAAGTAAGAAGAAGTTGGGCGTGGTGGTGCACTCTTGTAATCCCAGCACTCTGGGAGGCCGAGGCAGGAGGATGGCAAGTTTGAGCCAAGTCTGGGCAACTTAGATACTTAGCCAGACCTTGTCTCAAAATAAAAAGTGAAAGAGAGCTGGGGATGTAGCTGAGTGGGAAGGCCCTGGGTTCAATTCCTAGCACTAAAAGGAAGAGGAGGAGGAGGATGAAGAGAAGGAAGAGGACGGGAAGGGAGAGGAGGAAAAAAAGGAGGAAAAGAGGAAGAGGAAGACGAGGATGAGGAAGGAGAGAACAGGAAGAAAGGGCAGATCGCTGTAGGCTGTCTTCCTTCCTCAGCACTGAACCTATCCACTGGAACCTTGGCCAGCTCCCCAGCCTTCTCTACAAGAGGGCTTTTACCAGTGAAGCACTCAGACTTTTATGTTTCTTGTTTGTTTTTTCCCGGTGCCAGGAATCGAACTCACAACCTTGTGCTTGCCAGGCAGGTGCTGTGCTGCTAAGCTAAGTCCCCAGACCCTAGACTTTGTGTTTCTGTACCACATGTTTGGCATGTGTATTTTTTTTTTTTTTTGGTACCAGAAATTGAACTCAGGACCTTGCACTTGCCAGGCAGACACTTGTGCCACTGAGTTACATCCCCACCCTGCATGTATATTCTTAAGAGTGGAAAAGTGGGAGAGAATAGTGTGTTTACTACCGCATCATTTTTTTCTTAAACTGGGAAAAGCTCCACTTATTTTCTTGCCTGAGGATGGAGGAACGGCAGGAGGAGGGAGTCGTGTTTTACACCCTGGAGATCTGGTGAGAACAGGGCTCGGGAAGAGTGTTAATATTGTCTCTATTCACCTGATGTTGTAAAACGCTAGCAAAACAACCAGAAAGAATGGAAGATTGGTGAACTAATTCCCCTTCTCTTTCTACAAAGATGATGGGAAAAAAAGTGCAGGTCGCATAGTAAAACGAAGCTAGAGGTCAAAGCAGGACCTGGCCGTGTCTACAATCACTGTGTATTCATCTACCCCTCAAAAGAAAGGCCAGTTAAAATTTAAAATGAAGAAAAATTTCTCCCACCACCAAATGGAGCTTTCTCCAGTCTGCTTTTATTTTTAAATCTTTACAAACTATTGTGGCTTCACATTGTTATGAAAAGCACTGTGGAAATTTCATGGCTGAGGAAAAAGGAAGAGAGGAAGAGTACACCCAAAGGCCGTCACTACCCGCTTTACAGTGTGTTCCCTTTCTGTCTCGCTTCTTCCTGTGTGGACACGCTTTTCTGTGCACAGCGCGGTGGCCGTGTATCCTGCCTGCTGGCTCCTACCTCTGGGCCTCTCCAGGAAGTCAGTGTTCCCGGGAATCGTAAGTACAGGAAGCTTCATCCATGCAGCAGGCTGGTACCAGTGACTCCGAGCCCTGCCAGCCTGGACCGGAAGGGCTTGCATGAGAGGCACCTTCTGGGGGGCAATTCCACGGTGCCCACAGCAGAGACCTTGCTGTGGGGAGTGGGAGAAACGACCCAGTTTACTGCCACTAAGCCGAGGCGGGAACGGTGGGTTTGCAGGTGCACCTCCAGGCTCTTGCTCACCTGCTCACAGCCGTACAGCTGTCTGTCCTCGTGCTGACCATTGCCAGACCCGAGAGGACCCTGTCCCGCTCTTGTGCCCGGCTCCTCCTGCCTCCCTGGGTCGTCCCAGGCGGCCTGGCAGACCTGGTAGTTCTTGTGAGGAACTGGGAGGGAGAGCACCTGGGGGGCCCCTGGGGCACCAGGCTGCTCTGGGCTTTCCTTCCTGCAGCACAAAGAACTCAAACTTCCAGCTTTGCGCGCATTTCCTTAATTGGTCTGTTCCTCCATAAAGTCTGGTTGGACTTCACACTTTGTTCCTACAACGGCTAATTTATTTTATGTCTACTCCCCCACTCTGGATCCTTTCCTCTTGTCCTACTCTGAGTGCCCTCTGCGGTCCCCATGGTCCCCGTCCTCTGCCCTTTTGTCACTAGAACAAAAGCATCTACTTGTTTCACTGCAACCTCAGTGACACAGTTTGTGAAGGTCACATATTTGACAGGTTTGTCACAATGTAAACGTCCTCTCCTTTACTGAACACCTAGGCTGTCCCCACTGTCCACTGCCAGGGACGGTTTTGTAATAAACATTCCCCTCTTCACTGCATCCCGCCTTTTGGAAAAACTGTCTGATAGTGTTCATCCAGTGCTAACGATCTTTGAATCTTTAAAACAATATTTGGCTTGAACCAAGCCCCCCATTAAAGTATAAGCCTCTCTGCTTTTATAAGCAGTACCTAAAAAGAGGTGTGGTGGCTCAAACCTATAATTCTAGCACTCTGGGAGGCTGGGGCAGGAGGATCTCAAGTTTGAGCCCAGCCTGGGCAATTTATAGTGAGGGATATAGTGAGACCTTGTCTTGTTTAACGGGACAGAGCTCATAATAAAGCCCTCATTCAATGAATGATAATCATAGCAATCACTACTAAAGTTTTTGAAGGTCTTTATTCATACAGCGTCATACAGGAGATGTGCTGGGACTTCAGGGTGGTTCCCGGGACAAAGGGTGAGTGGGGGGCCAAACTCACTTTAGGCTGCACCCAGCACCCCACCTCCCCCGCAGCAGTGTGGGCAGGCAGCCCCCTCCAGGGTCTGGCTGAGAGTGGAGAATGTAGGGGCTGAAATGCCAGGAGATGGCAGTTTGGTGGCCTGCAGCCTCCGGCCAGGGTCAGGGAAGGGTTTCAGCTGCATCCCCAGTGGGGCTTTGCTCCCTCTGGGCTTGGAGTTCGAATCAGAAGCAGGAGAGGTCTCAGGCCAGGGGGGCGCTCTACCAGGTGTGTAGCCTGAGGACCCCAACCCCTGGCAGAGGAAAGTCGAGGTGCCAGCATCAGCTCCCGCCAGACCCTGAGTGCGGAGAGGTGGGAGGGAGCCGTGTTCATCTGGCGGATTCAAAGCCTTTGTTGCTGTTGCCGGCAGCCCTGGCGAGCTCCTGAGAATCCAGGGACATTTCCAACTCTGAGGCCCTTTGCTTCTGTTTTGCATTCTAGCAGGCTTCTGCCTTTTAAAATCTTCCTCTGACTCTTGATTCAAACAAATCCTTTGCTTAAAATTTACAAGCATAAGACATCTTCAAGATCTCAGGGGAACAGCGAGGATGAGGTGTTAGGTCTGCTTTCCATGGTAGGCTCAGTGGTAGTCCCCACACAGACCCTCTCTCTCTCTCTCTCTCTCTCTCTCACACACACACACACACACACACACACACACAATCTCTCCCTCCCTCTCTCCCTCACATCTCTCATCTCCTTGCACAGCTCAGAAAACCGCAGCCTGCGAATCTCAGTGTGTGTCCCCATAAAGCATCCACTTACATAATTCTTCCTGCCATTACCTAAAAATATGTCACACACTTGGCTCGAGCATGTTTTGTGGGCTTAAATTTACACTCAGCACTTCAAAAGCATCCCTGTAAGCCTGCTGGAACCTTCCGGGTGAGAGCTCGGAAATTCTAATGAGCACTAGAGTACACTCACAAATAAACACGCTCTTTGGAATCCTCTTCTGAAGGTTCAGGGATGAGAGTTAGAACAACAGCAATAATACCTCCCAAATTAGACCAATTTCTGCCTTCTCCAAGGGTTTTCACTGAATTCTGGGAAAACACACCCGTGAGAGGCAGGACTGTGAGCTGGAGCCCTTTCCTGTGAGTGGGCGTCCCTGGGCCGAGCTCTCCGAGCCTGTGTATCGCAGGGGTGTTCAGACACCAGAGCTCTGGGGAGAGCCAATTCAATGATGCATCTGAAAACTACAAAGCTGTTGCACCCCTCACAGCGCAGAGCCTTCTCCTTGGGTCCTAATTGTGCTCTGATCCACTTCCAAGATCAGGACACTTGTCACCACTTTGGAATGGGGTGCATGGTCAAGACAGGAGACCCTCATGTGGCCCTGCACTCCCCGCACCGTCCTGAGGAGCCCCTTTTCCCCGAATCTCAGTCTCCCTGAGAGAGAGACAATCACACGCGCATCCTCTCAGTCTGTGATTCGCATCCGCGCAAGCCTCAGGTGTTCAGGGGTGGAGCTTTCACAGGTGATTGGCCCATGGGGTGCCGTGCTCATCTGCAGAGTGAGCCACGGATGAGCTCAGAGCTGGACGCACTGTTCCGGGAGGACCCGAAGGAAGAGGCGGGGCACCGGGTGTGTGACCCGGAAGGGTTTGCCTGCTGCCCTGTTCCTCCCTCTGTGCACCGCTTCCTGGCCGCCACGATGTGAGCAGCCTCTTCCGCCAAACCCTTCCGCCCTGCTCTCTCCCGCTTGGAGGCAGTGACGCACGCACGCATGCACGCACGCACGCACGCACGCACGCACGCACATCCCTCTCCGCGGACCCTGTGTCTCCGTGTGGAGGAAGTGGTGGAGAGACGAGTTTCCAGCAGCCGAGGGTGAGTTCTCCGAACCACTGTTGAGATGACGGTGTCTGCGTCACCTCTGGAACGTGGATCCCTCTCGGGTGGGCTCTGACTCACAGATTCCCAGCCTGCCTTGCCGTGTGGTCTCCGGACCTGTGACCCCAGGGAACTCTTAGGGCCTCCTGAGTCTGGCAGGGTGGGCGGGCCTGACGGTCTGCACTTCACGGATGGGGAAGACGAAGCCCTGGGAGGGGCGAGGCTGGCACGGAGCACCCAGGCAGCTGCAGAAGTCCACCCTGCAGGGCCTGGGAGGATGACACTAGGGAGCTGGGGACCCACAGAGCCACTTGTCTCACCCTCCGCAGAGCCCACCCATCCTCCGCTCCTGGAGACGGTGGCAGCTTCAGAGCAGGCTCCTTTCTCATGCATGGGGACGACCACAGCCTGTGTCGCATCGAAGCTCAGACCCAGCCCAGGATGCCCACCCACGAGTCCAGCCTCACTCTGGCCCAGGCCCACATCCCACCCCGAACACCACCATTGTGACGCACAGCTGCTCGTGCACTCCATTCCAACCCCCCGGACTTTTCTCTGGTCCTGGTACAAGCCAGGCACCCCAGGCCCTTAGTACTGCAATTTCCTCAGCCTGGAACATGGCCCGATGGCACTGCCCCTCTTTCTTCAGGCCTCTGCTCCACAACATATAATTGGAAGGGTGGACTCCTGGTTACCTTTACCTTCTGGAGCTTTTTTTTCACGTAGCACTGATGACCTGTGAGAAGGAGTAATTTCCTTTTTAAACATCTAGAAGGTCTGTTTCCCCTTCCAGAATGATGCTAGGACAGTTTGGCGAACCTGTGGCACTCGTAGCTGCATCCACCTGTTTGCAATCATGGAAAGCTCTAAAAGGTTCGCCATCCCTGCTCTGGGAGGACAGAGCTGGGTGTGTGCTGTTACAGGGCAAGTGCTTAGAGCTGTTCTAACACAGTGCAGGGGAAATATTTGTTGAACGGATAAACAAACCAAAACAGGGAGCAACGGGGCCAGGGCAGCATCCAGGAACAAAGCATGGAAATTATCCATGTCCCAATCTATTTTTTTTGTTGTTGTTTTTTTCTGGTACCGGGAATCGAACTCAGGACCTTGCACTTGCCAGGCAGACGCTGTGCCGCTGAGCTAAATCCCCAGCCCCCATGTCCCAATCTAAATTAAGGAATGGATTAAGAGAGGACGGGCATGTGGGCGGAGCCAGAGCAAGGAGTCTTCCGCACCCACAGAAGTGACGCGGGCTTCCTCCAGTCTCCCCGAAATAGGCAAACTCGGGTTCAGACTTAAGGCCAGCTTCCGGCCTGGCCTCCTGAGCCGCAGGCTGTGCTAGCCGGTCCCAGATCTGCTGCCCCTGCGTCTCCTGGTGTGGTTCTTGGCCTGCGTCTCTGTCTTCCCCAATCTAGCAAGCTGCGCACCTTCGGTGGTACCTACGGCACCTCGCCTCACTCTTCCACGTTGTTCTGAAGCCTAGCATAGATCGGGCCAGAATGGCTGGTGAGTGGAAGGGTGCACCGGAGAGTCCAGCTCAGCTCTCGGGGGTCTTGAACTTCTTGAAGAGGAGCTCTGCACATCCCAGGACAAGACAAATGTCGGTGAGGACAAATCCCACTGGGAAGTCCCTTTCCTGCTTGCCTGGCAGGCGTGCACACCCTTTAGGACACAGCCTTAAAACGTGCAAACCAAACACACACCCGGCACCCAATTCTGGAGTTCCTTGCTCTGAGAACTTTCCAGAAACACAGAGCCTCCAGCCCCACTCCAAACCCAAGCACTCGATTCAGTGTCTGGAGGAATCCCAGCTGTGCCCTGCACACAGCAGAGGCCTGGAGGCGCTGCTCTGGGACACACCAGAAACACCAGGGGCCCATGGCAGCTATGCTTTGCCTCCCCATCTCCTCAGATACCAGTTTTGTAGATTGCCAAGTAGAACTCAGGTGTCAGATTGTGAAAAAAACACCAGTGGTGATTTTGATAAGTAGCAAAGGCAGAGGACTGCTACAGGCATGTTGTCCTATTGACCTTGTTTCTCAAAATACAGCCCTTGGACATCCTGCATACTTGTGACAGAGAATTCTGGGCAGTGCCTGAGCATGTGGGATTAGGCTCTTGGAGCGGGGTAAAGGCCTAAAATTAGTATTTTCAGTAGCTTCTGTGGGGGTTGGGTAGGTGCATCAAAGCTCTGAACCTCCATGCTAGGCAAAGGGGCAATGGAGAAGGGATGTCAGGAGGGCGTCTGTCATTGCACCAGCCTGGGATTCCTTCACTGCCGCCCGCACCCCTGCCTATAACGTCTCGTGGAGGACCAGTCTCTCCTATTTCCTCTTTAAAGCTGACCCTGGCACAGAGTGACATCAGGGATTAACTGAAAGGTAAATTATGTGGCCAAATAGTTCGTGAAGCACTGTGTTCAAGACATTCCTGTTGAGGACTTCTCAGACCCTGGAATAGGCCAAACCACACTGTGACATGCAGTCAGACATGGAATTCAATAATATGGATTTTTTTAAAAAGGATAGCATGTGATGGGGCTATGTCCCTTGAAAAGTCACAGGAAGTCTGGGTTATGGGATTTACAAAGTGTTCCTACAGGTTTTATTTTATTCAGTGCCTCCAGTAGGTTTTGGGAGATGTCTGTGGCTACAGATGAAGAAATTAGGCTGGAAGAGGTGGGGATTGCCAGGGCAGCCCAGCCAGCGGGTGGCAGAGCAGCCCAGGGCTCTGGGGCACAGCTGGGTGGTGGACGCCTGGCACCACAGACTCCCGGCCCTGAGCTCCTCCTGATACACCCTTTGCCAGCACAGGTGTTTTTCCTGGAATGGAAATGGGCCAGGCAGAGCCGGCTTGTTTCTGAGGATGCTGCAAGGTTAAAGCCAGTTCTGCTTATGTTCCTCGATGCGGAGGTGCTACAAATAACTCACTTTCTTCTCTTTCAGGGGCTCTTCAGAAACACTTGGCAGAGACCACTGCCTTTGGAAAATGGAAGCAAGAGAGGGAGTTGCTCCAGAAACAGTAAAAGGGACTCCTAACCTCTGTCTCCAGTGTAAGCCTGGACTTGCTCCTGTCCATGCTTTCCTGACTGGGTAGCTTCCGTCCTGTCCTGCGTGTCCCAGCTACTTCCACGCCAGCTCCACGGAAGTCTCAGGGAACCATTTAGGGGTCACAGTTGGAACTGTATTCAACTCAAACCTAAGAATGGCTGCCGATCCATCTTCTCGTCTAATGGAAGGAGGAAAACTAAACAATAAGACAATGCCCCCCCCCTTGTTTTTGCAATTTGATTTTACATTTATTTTCAAGAATGATCTTCAGTAATTTTTATGAAATCTGCAAAATTATTTCCATTTATAGATGAGAAAATACAATACTGATGCTTCTACTATGTCCTGTTATGATGATATACTATACAGATCTTACAGACCAGATCAGAATAATCCTTAGAAGGCCATTTTCCTCAAAACTTGAAACAAAATATTTGGATCTCAAAAGCTGAGCCGATCTTGTCCTTGTGCCTGTTTCCTTGGATACCTGATTTCAGAGTTGCTCAGCAGAGCGCGAAGTTTTCTGAGGAGACACTCAGGATGCGGAGTGAGATGCACCTGCCTGGTTCCCTGCTGATCTGTGCTACTGAGCGCAGGTTTCCAGGTGAGGATCCACCTGCCAAAGGAATCCTTCACATGGAGAAATATGCTACCAAAACACATGCATGCGTTCTTTGTGCTAATTCCAGGAAAACCGTATTTCCTTACCTACGATCTCATCGTTGCATTTCCCCATTAACCAGAGCAAGTCGAGAGATATTTTGGTTTGCAATTGATCTTACCTACCATCTCATCGTTGCATTTCCCCGTTAAGCAGAGCAAGTCGAGAGATATTTTGGTTTGCAGTTGATCTATCCATTCCTTGAGCGCAGGCTGGATAAGGCTTGCACTGGAAGAAAGGGGCTGGCTGTGAGCACGCAGACAGTATGAGCCAGGGTCGCTTGGGCTGGAATCCTGGAGAACGGGGACAGGGCTGCACTTAATCACCTTGCTCCATCTTTAGGAACCCGAAAGACTACTTCCACTGTTATCAGTTAGGTGTGATCCATACATAAACATGCCTATCTATGTGCACTGTGTACATATTTGCCTTATGATGACTCTTTTGAAGAAGGAAAGGTTTTTTATTAGGTTTATTGGTACAATTTAGATATACATAATGATCACTTTCATCATATGGAATTTGTACCTGTATGTAACATATTTTGATTCCTTTTTATCCCCATTCCCCTTTCCTCCCTTCAACCCCTCCTCCCCCCTATTTACAAAGCTTTGTTTCCATTTCATCTTTTTAATCATTTTTTTCTTTTCCCTTCCTTCCTTTCCCCTTCCCTAGTTCCTCTTTCCTTTTGAACAATTTGTTCTCATTTTACAGTATCTACTATATATTTTGGTCTGTATTTACTCTTTCAATTTCTCATACCAGGGAGCTAGTGCAATATTTACATATGTGAGTCTGGTTTACTTCACTCAAGAGTATGGTGTCAAGGTGCATCCATTTACCTAGAAATGTCTCAAGTTTATCCTTCTTTATGGCTAAGTAGTACTCCATTGTATTAAAAAAAAACCACATCTTTTCATCCATTCCCTGGTTGATAAGACATTTGGGTTGTTTCCAAGATTTAGCTATTACAAACTGTGCTGCTATAAACATGGGCATATTCCTAACATTCCTGAAAGCATGTGCTACCCTGATGCCAAAACCAGATAAGGACCCAACCCAAAAGAAAACTACAGGCCAATCTCCCTAATGTACATAGATGCAAAAATCCTCAGTAAGACACTGGCAAACAGAAGGAAGAAAATCATCAAGAAGATTATTCACCATGACTAAGTAGGATTCATCACAGGGATGCAGGGATGGTTCAGCATACACAAATCAGTAAATGTAATACACCATATCAACAGCGAAAGACAAAAATCACATGATCATCTTGATAGATGCAGAAAAAGCAATTGACAAAGTCCAGCACCCATTCATGGTAAAAAACAAAAACAAAAACAAAAACAAAAAAAAAAACAAAAAAAAAACCTACGGAAAACTAGAATAGATGGTCTTTACCACAATCTGATAAAAGCTATCTATGACAAACCAACAGCCAACATCATACTAAACAGACAAAAACAGAAAGTGTTCACTCTAAAATGAGGAACAAGGCAAGGATGTCCACTGTCTCTGCTCCTATTCAAGGCAATGTTTTCTCCTTTAAAACCCATACCTTTTCTGCTGTACTATAAGCACGGAATGGGAAGGGACAGACAAAGTTGAAATACCAGCCTTGCCGATTTTCAGCTTCATGGCCATAGGAGGGGGACACACCCTCGAAGGCCCAGGCTCCTCAG